TTTTTCTGTTACCCCTAGAGCCGCTGGCAGGCCCGCACCCTGGTAAACTCAGGGTGAGGTGTGAGTATTCCCCTGTGATTCAGGGTAGGTCTGAGCACTTCACTCCCAGTTCTGTTTTTATCCTACCTCGCACTACTATGGCTCGGGTCGAGTATGAAGTAAGCCTTCACTTCTTCTTTGGTCGAAGTTCGCTCCCCTGAAGCCAGAGCATTGCCCTGTGCTGACGCCCATGCATAGATGGTAGGCCCCTGACTAACTGGGGCCTCCACTGAGGCAGAGTGACGTATGTTGTACTCCCCTTGTTCTAAGGGTATTAGCTCTCTATGCTGAGTACACTGCCATGGGCAATGTGATTAGGTACCAGGATGCTGTAGGCGCTGTGTAAACAGCTTATCTGCCAACGAAGGCTGCGCCATCAGGTAGTAGGCCTCAGCAGGCCTCCTTGTATGGGCAGCCCCCAATAGGGCGCTGTAGGCCACTTCTCGAGAGAAATGGTTGGCTTTGGTGGTTCGGGCAGTTGACTCACCGGTGGGTAGTAGGCCTTAAACAGGCTTCCTCTGAGGTGAGTCCCAACATTGTGGGACATACTTTATAGCTGCTACAGGTAGCTAGCCGTACTAGGCCTCCTGTGGGTGGGCCCAATAGTTCCATTGGTGTGGTATGGTTCCCAACAGTGTTCCTTTGTAGCAGAATTGACTTGCTGTCAGCTAGTAGGCCCAACCAGGCCTCCCTGATAGGCGAGTCCCCAGCTGGCTGGCCTTAGCAGGCCACCTTGGAACTGTCACCCGGACTCAGCTACCAGTTGCTATCAGGTGGTAGGCCCCTCAGGCCTCCCTGAAGGTGAATTCCCACTTAAGATGGTTATCAGGTAGTAGGCCTCACCAGGCCTCCCTGAAGAGACAAGCCCAAGGACGGGCAACTGGACAGCTAGCCTGGCTTACTATCGGGTAGCAGAAAAAAGCTCCCAGATATTATGGCTGTCAGGTAGTAGGCCTCACTAGGCCTCCCTGAAAACGAGTTCCCACATGCTGTGATTATCAGGTAGCAGGGCACACCAGGCCTCCCTGAGGGTGAGTTCCCCACGTACTATCGCTATCAGGTAGTAGGCCTCTCTAGGCCTCCCTGTAGGTGACCACATACTGTTGCTATCAGGTAGTAGGCCTTACCAGGCCTCCCTGAAGGTGAGTTCCCACAGACTGTAGCAATCAGGTAGTAGGCCTCACCAGGCCTCCCTGAAGGTGAGCTCCCCACATACTGTGGTTGTAAGGTAGCAGGCCTCACCAGGCCTCCCTGAAGGTGAGCTCCCCACATACTGTGGTTGTAAGGTAGCAGGCCTCACCAGGCCTCCCTGAAGGTGAGCTCCCCACATACTGTGGTTATCAGGTAGTAGGCCACTCTGGGCCTCCCTGAAGGTGGAGCACCCCACATACTGGGGTTATCAGGTAGTAGGCCTCTCCGGGCCTCCCTGTAATGTTTCTCTAATGGTGCTGGGTTTATGAAGCTAGTGGCCTCTTGCTATCAGTTTCAGCTAGCCTTAATAGGCAGCTGCTGAGGGCGAGCTTGCGCCCTGGCTCGCTAAAGTGTTTATTCTCTGCTATTTGTTCCCTCCTGGAACCTTTCCTGCCTACAGCCTGGTTTGCCTACCAGGCAGACCTTGTGCTCCCCTCACTGAGGGTCTCTATGAGCATGCGGCTTCCTGAGTCTGGTCAGACGGTCGTAGGCCTCTCGTGAGGCCTCCCGGTTAGATCAGCCATTAGGCCTTCACAGGCCTCCTCAGTGTTTGCAAACACTGGGTTGATCCATGGATCGAGTAGAGAAACTCCCCTTGCTAGCAAGGGTCATAAAGCACTATGTTGAGTCATACTCTCCGGGATATCCCGTCTCTGAGATCCGGGCCGAGTGGTTCACTGCCAGCGTCGCAGTCCCTCGGGTTGGATGCCTTACTTAAGGCTTTTTTCCAGAGGCTCTGTCTTCGGACAGACAGGAAGTGGCCAGACTAAGTGTCTATGTATCTGACGCCAGGTCAGGCCGTCCTGGTGGCATATCGGGGTGAGTACGTTCCCCTGAATAGTGACTGGCTGGGGTTCCTTCGGATTCCCTAGCCACATTCCCTAGAAGGGGCCCCTTCTAATTTAAGTTGTGGTCCTAGGCCTTTGAGCAGGCCCAGGTAGGCTTTCATTTAACTATGTTTATGGAGGTTTTCCTGTTAGGCTTATAGCTTGGGCTATGACCGTAGGGAATGCTGTCACTGACAGCCCAGTGTGACCTGAGGGTGAGTGGTTCTAGCATTTCATTTGAATTTGCTGGTTCGGACAGTTGTCACTGCCTGAGGGCATGCACTCCCCTCAGCATGGCGGCGTGGGTATATCGTTCCCCATAACGTCGATGACGTATTGTTGAGTTCCCTTCGAAAGGGAACGTCTCAGGTTACAAATGTAACCTTTGTTCCCTGAGAACAGGGAACGAGACAATACGTCTCCCTGCCATGCCTCGGGGCTTGCCTGCCGTACAGTCCCTTCAGACGATAAGGTGATTTGTCATGCTTGCAAGGCGCCCTTATATACTTCCAGGTCGCACGTTAATCATTCACGCTAATGATTCACGGGCTGTCGCCGGTCAATGTGATTGACGTGATTTGATAGTGATTTCAGACACCTGTCACGCCTGAGGCGTTCCCCATAACGTCGATGACGTATTGTCTCGTTCCCTGTTCTCAGGGAACAAAGGTTACATTTGTAACCTGAGACGTTCAGTTGACTGGTTTTAACAACACTACCAACTATGCCATCTTCAATCAACTTCCATTGAGTTCCAGGGGTATTAAATGTAAGTACAAAATACTTTTTCTCTTGTGCTTGTGAATTGGTGGGGAATAGTAGCTAATGTAAGCGGTGTGTCACGATTGAAGGTAAAAATCTTCTTCATCCTCCGTTTCAGGAGTTTTAAACACAAAAACGAAAATAAAACAATTTACACAGCAACTAAAAAATGCATCGCTCATGTGAGAGATAAATGGTCAGAAATAAAGATGTTACAGTTCATGTTACAGGTTCTATCTCCTTTTAATCTGATTTCTAGCGTATTGCTATTGATGGATTAATTAAAAAATATCTTTTGAAGCCAAACCCTGCGATCACTGTCCATAGACATGATTAGAAATATTAATAGGCATACCATTTACACAAAACGTTTTAGCTTATGCTTATGAATGAAACATTAAACTGCCTCCTACACCTGAACGGCTTCCATCATTTGCTGTCGAATCTCATAATGTCCTGTATTCATAATGTTCATGACTGTATTTTCTAATCTCTACTCAATAATATTTAACTCTGTTTAGTGTATGTCAGAAATGAATTGGAAATTTACATTAATGCACATTAATCTTCAGCTTTCATAGGGTATATAGCAGTATGACAAAACACCAATGAACTTAAACTTAATGACAACTTGGCCTAGTTTTGCAAGATATTTAATCTTTGAACAGTATAAAGGTTTAATAAAAGTTTTAAAGGTTTGACAATGTTGAATTTGACCAACTAAAACTGTTAAAATAATTTACGTTAATGAAATAAAATATTTTTAAAAAAGCCTTTGTAAAATAAATATTTCAGTTTGTAGGAAAGACAACATTTCAAGTTTAAGTACTAAAATGTATAATTTATATCTAATTTATAAATAAATGTACAAAAATGTAAAGTATCTTAAATAAAAATAATTCAAAATTCAAAATAAAAATATATTTAAAATTGACAAAAATACAACAAAATGAATAACACAAACTAAAATTACAACTCAACTAAAAATAAACTTTTTCCCACTAGGAAGTTATCAGAAACGGGTGGCATTAATGTCTTTATATCTCTACAGGAATGTACATTTACTGTATGAATTAAGAATAAAGTCTGGTAGTTTAATGTGTGTTTTGGACAATTTTATTGTTTATAATGTATGATGGATATAATAGTTGATTTGATATGTAGCCTACATACTGTATATGTGGTTAGTGCTCTGGCATCTTTCTGCAATCATAGTTTCCCTAAATGGGACATTAAGTCTGAGTCTGGGCCATAATACTCATATTTCTTAACATCTAATCTGAATATGGAGAAATATCATAGTATCCCTCCAACAGAGCTTTAGGTTTCCTGAGATTGGACCCTTAAGAACAGGACAACAGAAAAGCAGACAACTACTATATTTTTTATTTTAATTTAAATGGTAATTAAACACAAAAAAGCAAGAGAGCATATAAAGGGTTTGCTTTCGCTAACTTCAATAAATATAATACTGTTCAAAGTACTGAACTAGAAAGTATTTCAAATGTTGTCTTTTGATGGCACCTGTTGTAGGGCTCTATGATTTCCACAATGCGAAAAACGCTGACAGAATCGTGGAACTCAGACACAAAAACATAATTTACTGTATTATGTTGTATTTCACGGAATTTGTTGTGATTCTCGCGTTGTTTTCATCCTCTGCCACCTCATATGAGGACATGAATGCATGAACTTCAGCTCCAGAGTCACTTCATGAGCATTTTAGAGAGAAAAACTATCGTTCATTTGAGAAAAACTATCGGCATATCATAAACACACAGAAACTCCAACGTTTTCATAGCAACCTGTCCAACAGTACAGTAGAATTTAGCTACGTCTCAATGTATTAATAATAATACTAACACTAATAATAATAATAAAAAATTATTAAAAAATGTTTTAAGGAATAATAATAAAAATCTCTTCCATGTTGTGTAGCACTTTGTTTGACAATTTTTTATTTATTATATGATTAAAAGATACATTAAATTAATGTTTTATGCCTTCTTTTGATTGCCAGGAAATTTCTGAAAAAACATAGAAATGATTTGTTTTTTTTAATTAATAATTTGTTTTTATGAATATAATTCATTAGACATGCTTTTTGATTACTAAAATTTCGGTGTTAATGTTAATGTTAACGGGGAAAAAATGGAATCCAGAAAAATGTTCAGATCTTTTCAGATTCAGAATTACACTCTGCAAACAAATCTCATTTTGTTGGAGCAGTGGCTGTCATTTAGTTTCCCAGTAAATGCAAAATGCCCACAATCCTCTCCTTCCTCTCCCAGTCCGTGTTCTTTCCAGTTATCCGGCTGCCCGGGATCCCAACGTCTGTGAATAATGACAACCAACAAATGTCACACCATTGCATCTGCATATATAACAACTTTCTGGGATCCCATCCGATCTAAAGTTTATTTTATATATGCATTTAATCCCAACACCACTACCAACAACAAATATTTTAACACATGAAATCTTTGTTTAATGCAAGAAGCATTTTCTTGACAAGCAAAAGCTTGAAATACATTATCTTGAAGTAGAGCTGCTTCCTTTCCTACTCATGGTTATAATAGGCAATAATTGGAAAACATAGCCTATAGCGCGGCCATTTTTGACTTGAATGTTTGAGGCTTCCGGTGTCCGGTTTTACCTTTACAAACACGGTCTGTTATGCTGCTTGATATTGCAAATTAGTATTTGTTCTCACATTATTTTAATTATCATAATTATAAACACATTGGTTTCTAGTTCAAATTGTTTTACCATGTACTGCACTTTGTTATTCTTTTTTCTTGAGAACATATAACGTCCTGGTTGCGTATGCAACCCTGAAGGAGGGAACGTAGTCGACGTCGACTGAATGGGGATCACACCAGGGAGCCAATCGTCTTCGAGTATAATTGAACGAGCCAATGGAATTGGCGTGCGTGACTTGCATCACACACTCCGCCCCCGCGGCGTGGGTATAAATACAGAAGTGGATGCACGCACTAGTTGCTTTTTCGCTGAGGAGCCGAGCGTAACTCGGAGTCAGCGGTGGTCCAGCGGTAGTGGCAAGGGGACTACGTCCTTCAGGGAACGAGGGTTACATACACAACCTGGACGTTCACTTTCAGTCGAGAACGTCGACTGAATGGGGATCAACCATTGAACACGACACTAAAGCTGCCACCTTTTAGTGCCTAGACAAAAGCCTCCAGATCCCCCCACAATTTAAGGTGGAGAAGGGATAGGGCTTTAGGCCAGGGAAGTCACTGCTGTTCCTACAGGCTCACTGGGAACGCCACATCCTTCTCGAAGGAGGTAACATGTGGAGAATACACATATGAACTGGGCGGATGACTGGGCAGTACAACATATGGAATGTCACTGGGATGGCTCCAGGGAATGTTTTGGTGAATCAAAGTGAATAATGCTAGCCTGGGTTTCCCCATACTGCCTTTGCGTAGCGCGATTTTATTCACGCTGCTAGGCAGTCTGGACACCATGGACCAAATTTTCTCCTCAGCGAGGGGACCAATCACAGAACGGGGAGGGAGCAGCAAGACGATGACGACGTCTGACACACCGAAGCAGTTTGTTTATACCTATGGATCAAACAATGGCAGCAGACGCGAAGTTACCTTTCCATGCAGCCTTGGATATTGTTCTAAGTAGTTTAGAACGCAAATAAATCTCTGACCATCGTCCACTTCCTCAACGTCATCTGGTATAATGGAAACGATTGGCTATGAGCTACGTACAGGCGCATTTGATAGACATTCGTAGCACCCAATAAACGGCTCTGGGCATTCGTAAACCACACCTCAAATACGAGAAAATGAACATGTGGTTCCCAGACCACGTCTCAATGTCAATGAGACGTGGTCTGACGTTAGCCAGGCTAGAATAATGCATGAATCAGCTCACTCTTTGTTCATAGTGTAAGGAGTGTCATCCGCCCATCTCCACTGGCCTGTGTCCTGATCCGTTAGACCGACCCAGTAGAGCTCGGGTATGGTATGGTTGTTTAGAAATGCCTATAGGGGGAAGATAGAAACAGATTTAAAAAAAAGAAAAGAAAGTAAAATGAAAATGCTATGTTATGCGCATCCATGAACGTTACACACCCACTCCTCGTCGTCCTCTTCTATTTTGAGGAGTAACGCGCCCTGTGCTTTGCAGTAATCTTGTGCCTCAGTCCAGTTGAGTTTATTATCGGAGAACAAGAAACAGCTGCTTTTGAACAATATCCAGCCAGATTTACAGGTTACAGGGACGTCTGCGTGAGAGACAGAGAAAAGATGCAAAATAAGAGCAGATTTAAAGGGTCAGTTCCAGGGGCGGAGTGGGACCAAAAAATCTACCGGGAAATTTCGTAGACCACCGGCCCTCGGGCCAAAAATATACTACTAACGGCATAGAACTCTTGCAAAATTATTTTAAATGTATTAAGAAAGCACCGCTACTGGTCACATGGTCACATGGTCTATGGTTAGATTGGTTTGTTTAGATCCAGTGAAATTGCTACCTTGACAACGCCATGTCATGTTTTAGGTTTAATTGAAAATCAAATAATTGACAAACTTTTTTTCTGTTTTACGAAATTTGATTTCTGCATTTTATTTGCGTTGACCCGGAACATTTAGATAATAGCCTACTGAGCCCGGGAAGTCACTGTAAAAACAAAAACACGGTTTTGCAATCTGTCTCCTCAGTTTATAAACCCTAGGCTGTACTGTAGCCTACTCCTCATTTGTCTGTGCCGGGTGATTCAACCAGGCCAGCTGTTTAGGTGCGGGATGCACGGGACTGTGTTTAAACTTTATTTTTCAAAATGGATCATTTCTTGAATTTTCTAAAAAAAAAAAACGACATTTAGGCTACTTGTATCTTTAAAGTCAATTTTTTTGGGATGAATAAGCAAAAAAAAGTGTTTGTGCGGAGTGTGGAGCGCGCGCACTGCATGGCATGGGGGCGCGAACACTTGCGTTCCCTTTCGAGGGAACTTCCGCTGCGTCGAAAATCGACACTATGGGGAACGCCTTCAGCGTGACGCATCTGAAGCCTTTATGGAACTAGTCCAGTCTTGATTGGTGCTGCGTGATGACGTCACTCGTGGCGCCGCATGTGACGGTGAACCGGAACTATAAAAGGACACCGCAGCATAACAGCGCAAGCTTTCTGATCTTCAGCAAGCGTTCTATGTGACTGTGTGTCTTATTTGGTGTTGTTTGTGATATATATATATTGTATTATGGCAGCAAAGAAGCAGTTCAGACAGTGTGCGTCCCCTTGTCCACGCTTTTTGAGAAAGGGTGACACACAGTCGCTCTGTGTTGTTTGTTTGGGAATGGAGCATGCACAGGCAGCACTCGAGGGTGCTGTCTGTGCAAACTGTGATTTCATGCCTATGAGAACGCTCCGTTCCCGCCTGGCCCTGTTCAGTGATAAAACAGGACAGGCACGCGCTCCCCGGGGATCGGGTCCTGCGTCTGTCGAGGCAGCGCGGCGCCTGCATTCCTGGGGATCGCAAAGGGATCTGGTTGGGGATGTTGAGACGGCTGAGGCCCTTTCTCAACATTCATCAACCAGTTCCCATGGTCCCGTTCGCGGTTCGGGAGCCCGCCCTGCGGCTTCTTCCGCCCGTGATGAGGACCAGATGCTCGAATTGTCTGCCTCTGAGGAGGTGGATGATTTGAGCATCGGTGCAGGGGAATGTGGGGATCTGCCACCCCATTCTCCCGCATCTGAGGAGGTGCTGGAGGTTGTGACTAGGGCTGTGGCCAAATTAAACATCAGTTGGCCACCGGAAGTGCAGGAAGCGACAGTAAAAAGTAAACTCGATGAGCGCTTCCTGCAAACCCAGTCACAGCCTTCACGCCGGAGTCTTCCATTTTTCCACTATCTCCACACCGAGGTGTCGAGATCGTGGGATAAGCCCTTCTCTTCTGGACTTTCCAGCCCCAATGTATATATATATTCCACCATAATGGGGTCGAGAGAGATGGGCTATGGGACGATGCCTCGGTTGAAGAGACATTTGCATCTCATCTCTCGCCCGAAGCTGCATCGTCCCTAAGGGCTCCGGCGCTTCCCTCCAAGCCCTGTCGTACAACATCGGCCTTGGTTGGGAAGGCATATATGGCGGCAGGTCAGGGTGGTGCATGCCTGCACACAATGGGGCTCCTGCAGGCATACCAGGCCGACCTGTTAAAAGAAGTGGACGACAGCGGGGAGGTCGCCCTCGACGATATTCAAGAGATGCGTCGAGCGGTTGACTTGTCTCTCCGTGCTACCAAGGAGACGGCCCACGCAATCGGCCGTTCTATGGCAGCCTTGGTAGCGACGGAGAGGCATTTGTGGCTGAATTTGTCGGGCGTCGGGGACAGGGACAGGGCCTTCCTCCTCGACGCCCCGATTTCGTCTTCTGGCCTCTTCGGCGACGCAGTCGACACTGTCGTCGAGAGGTTTCAGGAGACGAAACGACAATCAGCTGCATTAAAACAGCTAATCCCCCGCCGTCGTCCCAAGTCTCGTGGGTCTGCTGCCAGGGGGCAGTCCCACGGGGCGGTCGCCAGCTCCTCCCACATACAACTACAAAGAGAGAGTGTTGCTTCTCGTGCTCCCCCGAATAAGGCTTGGAGCCAGAGGCAACACTCTCAACCGAAGTCTTCCCTGCCCGAAAACGGATCTGAGGACCGTTATTCAGGCAGGGAAGGCTTCGACGAAGAGGTCCTGACGTGTTGCGCAGCCCTCTGAGGGCGTTCCCCCCCGCGATCGAGTGTCAACAACTCGCTCCTTCGCGGAGCCCTCAGGAAATCGATGTTCGCTTCCCGCTGCCAAAGCCGCTTCGGGACGCATCGGTTTCCAGCGAACGCAGATCGCAGTGTCCACCCGTAATATTGGTGGCCCGGTCGAGTTCGCTTCCTCTCATGAGGCCTGCAGAAAAATTATTTCGGTTAAGACCTGCTTCATCTGCTTCAGGTCACCGAGGTTTTAAATATAACACCAGAGGTCGGTCTCGAGAGACTGATCCCCCTAGTAGAATATTTAGACACCTGGAAGGGTCTTCAAAATATATCTCAGTGGGTCCTGCATATAATAGAGAAGGGCTACAGAATCCAGTTCGTATATCGCCCGCCAAGATTCAACAGGGTCGTGCACACACTGGTCAGCTCCGAGCAGGGTCAGGTCATGGAACAGGAAGTCCAGTCCCTCTTAGCAAAGGAGGCCATAGAGTATGTTCCTCCTCAAGAGCAGGAAACCGGGTTCTACAGCTGGTACTTCATAGTTCCCAAGAAGGATGGGGGTTTACGTCCCATGTTAGATCTCAGGGTATTGAACCGGTCTCTGAGGAGATACAGGTTCAAAATGTTGACCATACCTATTATGGTAAGTCAAATCAGGTCCGAGGACTTCTTTGTAACGATAGATCTAAAAGATGCGTACTTCCATATTTCCATCCTTCCGCAGCACAGGAAGTTTCTAAGGTTCGCTTTCGGGGGAAAAGCTTACCAATACAAGGTTCTTCCGTTCGGTCTAGCACTGTCACCACGCACCTTCACCAAATGTATGGATGCTGCTCTTGCTCCTCTCAGACTTCAAGGCATTTGCATCCTCAATTACATCGACGACTGGCTAATTCTAGCAGAGTCGGAGGTATTGGCAGTTCAACATCGAGATGTTGTTCTGCACCATCTAAGGTGCTTGGGACTGAGACTCAATGTCAAGAAGAGTTCATTGACTCCTCTGCAAAGGACTATTTTCCTGGGAGTAGATTGGGACTCACTTACGATGCGGGCACAGTTGTCTCCTGCTCGTGTAAATACCATCTTGACCACAATAAGGAGTTTCAGGCTGGGCCAAACCATCACTGTCAAGCACTTTCAGAGAGTGCTGGGTCTCCTGGCGGCAGCGTCCAATGTAATTCCTTTTGGCCTGCTGCACATGAGAGCCTTACTGTGGTGGCTCAAGACCAAGGGGTTTTCCCCGAGGGGGAACCCTTTTCGCATTATCAAGGTAAAGCGCAGATGCCTTCATTCCTTGATAATGTGGAAGAAACCTTGGTTCCTCTCCCTAGGTCCTGTGTTGGGGGCACCGTGTCAGTAAAAGATTGTGACCACGGATGCTTCCCTAACAGGCTGGGGTGCGGTTATGGAAGGCCGCTACACCAGGGGTCCTTGGAAAGACCACCATCTATCTTGGCACATCAACTGCCTGGAGATGTTGGCGGTAATTCTGGCTCTCAAGCACTTTCTTCCGGACCTCAGAGGCCATCATGTTCTGGTGCGAACAGACAATACGTCAGTGGTCTCCTACTTAAATCGACAGGGGGGCCTGAGATCGCGCCCTCTATGCAGACTGGCACACCAGGTCCTCCTGTGGGCCCAGGGCAAAGTTCTTTCAGTCAAGGCTATGTTTATCCCTGGAAGCAGCAATGTGGGAGCAGATATTCTGTCGAGGCAGGGGCTGGTGCCCGGGGATTGGAGACTCCACCCAGAATCGGTGGAGCTAATATGGAAGGAGTTTGGACAGGCCGAAGTGGATCTGTTTGCCACTCACGAAAATTCTCACTGTCCACTCTGGTTCTCCCTATCGCATCCAGCTCCCCATGGTACAGACGTGGCCGAGGCTACGTCTGTATGTATTTCCCCCTATCGCTCTGCTCCCAGGGGTTCTAGAGAGAGTCCGGCGGTACGGGATCAGCTTACTCCTAGTAGCCCCGTACTGGCCGGCCCGAGTATGGTTTTCGGACATCATGGTTCTTCTAGCAGGCCCTCCTTGGCAAATCCCGATCAGGAGGGACCTTCTTTCTCAGGCCGAGGGCACGATATTTCACCAGCTCATAAATACTGGTCTCTCAACTGAGGTTGTGGAGACCATTTTAAACTCTAGAGCCCCCTCCACGAGGAAACTTTATTCACTAAAATGGAATGTTTTTAACCTATGGTGCAGAGAACTTCAGTTGGACCCAGTTAACTGCCCGGTGGCTTCAGTGCTGGAGTTCCTCCAGAGTCGCTTCTCTGACGGGCTCTCCCCGTCCACGCTTAAGGTCTATGTGGCGGCCATAGCTGCCTTCCACACGCCTCTAGGGGTGGGCACCTTGGGGGAGACTCAAAGGGTTATCCCTGGCCCCCTTCGAGCCCTTGGATGAGGTGTCTGAGAAATTTATGTCCTTTAAGGTAGCCTTCCTGCTTGCAATTACGTCCCTCAAGAGAGTTGGGGACCTGCAGGCTTTATCGGTTGCTCCCTCTTGTCTCGAGTTCGCTCCTGGCCGGGTAAAGGCCATTCTCCACCCTAGACCTGGCTATGTGCCTAAAGTGCCGTCAAATGTGGCACGGTCTATAATTCTTCAGGCGTTTCATCCTCCACCGCATGTGTCGGATGAGCAAGCTAAGCAACATTTATTGTGCCCGGTCCGAGCCCTGGAGGTCTATACTCAGAGGACCTTGGGCTGGAGAAAGTCAGACCAACTTCTTGTGTGTTTTGGGTCAATTAAAAAGGGCTCTCCTGTTTCTAAACAGACTATCAGTAGATGGATAGTAGAGGCAATATCTTCAGCTTACGAGGCGCGCAGTTTGCCTTCGCCTCTTCTAGTGAAAGCCCACTCGACTAGAGGAGTGGCTTCCTCTAAGGCTCTACTGTCAGGAGTTTCTCTTCAAGAGGTCTGTGATGCCGCAGGCTGGGCCTCCCCTCACACCTTCATAAAACATTACAGTTTGGATCTGCCCTCTACACCGGGATCACAAGTTCTCTCGTCTTGAGTATGCCAGATTTCATACCAGGGCGTTTCTCTCAGAGTGGCGCAGTGGGCATTCGTTCCCCATAGTGTCGATTTTCGACGCAGCGGAAGTTCCCTCGAAAGGGAACGTCTCGGGTTACGACTGTAACCCTCGTTCCCTGAGAAGGGAAGGAAACGCTGCGTCCCTCAGCCACTCCTTCACGCTCCTGAGAACGACTTGCTTCTACCAATTGAAAGCTGGCGCTGTTATGCTGCCGGTGTCCTTTTATAGTTCCGGTTCACCGTCACATGCGGCGTCACGAGTGACGTCATCACGCAGCACCAATCAAGATTGGACTAGTTCCATACAGGCTTCAAACGCGTCACGCTGAAGGCGTTCCCCATAGTGTCGATTTTCGACGCAGCGGAAGTTCCCTCGAAAGGGAACAAGGGTTACAGTCGTAACCCGAGACGTTTTCCTATAACAGTGGAAACAACTTAAAATACTCTATCATTTCTGGTCATACAGAAAATAATAATACATCATTCGCAAATACTTTTATTTGTGTAAACTCACAATAACAAGAAAACGTTGTGCTTTTGTAAAATAAAAGAAAACAATGCGCGCTTTCATGATCTCCGTGAACTGGATCGAGTCTCAAAAATGAACTGAAACAAAATATAGCCTATGTAGGCTAAAGCTTGAAATGTCCACTTTTAAACTAACAAATTCGAATCGAAAGCAAATACAGTCTCATTATGTAATCCATATGAATTAAAGGCGCATCCGCTTTACAGCAGGGTATGTTTCCAGCCGACACTGATTTAGAAAACACTAGTTTATTAATAAACAATTAAAATGCCTCGTTATATTTTTCAGATTATAAATCACCTACAGCCTAAATCAACTCTCTGTATGGTTTGAGAGTATTCGAGAATATGGCTTTCTCATTCAGCACTGCGGGAAAAATATCATTTCTGGGTTTGGCCTTAGAAAACCAGTAAAAAAAGGCCTACAACAACCGATCATTTTTCGTTTCAATTACGGGTTAAAAAATTACAAACGAATGGACGCAAAAGTACACGGACCAATGGGTAATTTTAAAGCTTGTTAATGATTTCAATGTGTTTAAATGAGAAACAAGCCAAAACAAATTTGGGTGGTTTTTTGTGCATTCTCGTGGTTTTTGACGAGGATTTGGGCTGGAAAACCTTGCTGGCATCTGGCAACCCTGCTTTTATATAGCCTACTGTGTTGAGCAGAGGGCTGCACAGTTTGACCAGCGGGCAGCGGCCGCACAACAGGCCGCAAGATGGTGTTGCTAATATAACTCGCAATGTAGCCTATAACTATTATCAGACAGGCCCTTGCGGCCTCAAAACACTACCGGCCCACCGGGAAAAGTCCCGACTCTCCCGATTGCCACTCCTCTACTGGTCAGTTCCCCGAAAATTAAAGACACGTCGGTCATTAAAAACTCACACTCATGTAATTCCAAACCCAAAAGACTTTCATTCATCTTCAGAACACAAATAAATATCTTTTTAATGAAATCTGAGATCTACATTGACAGTCTATGCAACTACCACTTTCAAGGCCCAGAAAGGTAGTAAAGACATCATTAAATTAATTAGGGATAGGGATATATGACCATTTATAATGTTAGCGTTCTCGGCTCGATAAGAAAATTTGGCTGATATATTAAAGTAGGGCTACACTCTTAAATATAAAGGCTCTTTATAGGCATCTAAGGTTCCATGAAGAACCTTTAACATGCATGGAATCTTTCCATTCCACAAAAGGTTCTTCATAGATTTTTACAATGTTTTACAAATGATCCTTTTAAGAATATTCACTGAAAGGTTCTTTGAGGAACTAAAAATGTTTCTTCTATGGAATCGCTGCGAAAACCTTCTTTTGGAAGCTTTATTTCTAAGAGTGTGGATGCAGTACCTGCTGTTCTGTTTCTCATGTTAGATTTCAGGTCCTTCAGAGCGTTCATGACTCTGTCCTCTAAAACACAAGAAAACACACCAAACTTAGACCTGCAGTCAGTGTCCTGTGAATTTCATTTCAATCCAATTATTTCCAATGTAAAGAATAATGTCAGCATCAGCATGCAGGTCCATGAAATCAACAATTATGATTATTTCTGAAATCATGCCTAACAAAAAAGATAAATTCAATAGATTCAGTTATCATTCATAATGCAGTTATGGCAATATTGCACTCAACTCACCAGAGATCTGTTGTTTAGAGGACAGCGATGCGACAGATGAAGTGAGATCTGACACTGAACTCTTCAGGACACTCATTGAGCTCGACAGAGACTCTTAAACACGAGATGAAAGACATATGAAGTCCCGTTGTTTGCTCTGTTGGTCAGACTGTATGGAGGACTTCAAACTGTCCAGCGATCGTTCGGTTTCAGTCTGTTTCTGATCCTGCGTTTTAACTGGGAGAAAAAAGGTTGCAGTTAAAAGAATTATCTTCCTCAATACACAGATAATAAGAAATATGCAAGATTATTAAATGATTTAAACACCTGCATCATTCAGTTTGGATGTCAACGTTGATACTGCAGAATTCAAACTGTCATTCAAACTCTTCATATCCTGCTGCCGCACTGTGGAAAAGAAGTAGATGTTGCATTTAGATGTTGAATATAGTAGACTTATGCAATAGTAATAGGGATGCACAGATATGAACATTTTGCCCGATACCGATAACCAATAATTCTTTACATTTGAATGCTGATAACTACGGTGGCCGAGAAAGCTCAACGTGCTGCAAGCTAAAGAAGACGCGTGCAAATAGAAAAAAACGCATGCAAGTAGAAAAAAACGCATGCAAATAGAAAAAAACACCCGCAAATTAAAGGAGCTGTATGTAAGATTGTGGCCAAAACTGGTACTGCAATCACTTTCAAATGACTGTAGAGTGGTGTATCCCCTCCCCCTCCCCCCTGACTCGAGGTTGCCAGATAGGCTGCAGGATCCAGCAGGAACGTAGTCTGCTCCAAGAAGTGGTAACTAGAGCAGAGCTGGCAACCCGGATGCCGAAACACTACTGACTTTGTGATTAGTAGATAGGTGGAGGGTGGAGCATCAGACGAAAACACAACATGACAACATCAACATCAGTTGAGGGCTGCAACTGCACTTTTTAAATGACAATATCCTGGCCGGACTACTGTTGTCAGTGATATAAGTATTTGAAATTAACATGATTTCTTAATGTCTAGTGACATATCAGGGCCATTTTATGATCAATTGAAATAAATTTCTTACATACAGCTCCTTTAAGAAAACATCTTCATCAGTTTCACAACACACGTGTACTCCAAATACTCACAACACAACAAATACAGAAACGCGCTGCAAAAGCTCACAACACAACCAAATACAGAAACGCAAAAAGATCGATTTTTACTTAAAGGTGCTCTATGTAACTTTTCTACTAAAATGAATCCTTTTTTTATTGCCTGTGTGTGAAGGGGTTGTAATCACACATTAAAATGATCCACTTGTCGAGTTTTGCTATTACCTCTGAAGGCCAGTATTCCTATTTCTATGTGAAGGCTCCGGGTCGGATTTACCGCGAAATCCAACGGATGTGATGTGCATGCGCGCTCCCGAGCCTCTCTCCTTAAATACAGTCTATTGTAGACGGTCAGGGAGTTACGTCCGGTTAAAGGCGCACGTTTTTCGGCTTATATCTCAGTCAATTTTGGATCAATATTTCCAAGACTCTAATCGTTCGTAGTGCTGGACGGGGCCTTTCGAACGAGCCCACCCCCGAGGTCCAACTCGCCCGGCTCCCCGAGTTATAGCCGTTCGAAATCGGGGGTCCCAGCGAACGGCGATCCGGCAGGGGGCATCCCCGAGGCCCGCCACTCTAGCGTTCGGGCAAGGGTTCCCCTGGGACCTCCTCCCCCGAATTTGAGCTCTCTGGGTCTTTGCGTTCCAGAGATACGAGCGATTTTCTTCTGAGATCGTGACGTCACCGGCGTCCGCAATTTTGCAGCGCGCCTGATGGTTTTCTGCTAATATCTCCGCGAAAACACCACCAAAAACTATGGAACTTATATGGTTCTTTTCAGCTCGACTAGATGGTCCAAACAAGCTCGGTGCTCGCCGAATCCGTCAAGTATTCGCCGAGATATTTGCGTAATAGACTGTATTGTCTATGAGTTCGAGCGCTCTTGTAAAATTTGGTTGCAATCTGAAACATTACCACTAGAGGCCGCTAAAAGTTACGTAGAGCACCTTTAAGTAAAAGTACAGAAGTACTTGTTTTTAAAAGTACTAAAGTAACAAAAGAAAAAGTCAATGCATTGTTTTATTATTGTTGCATTGTTGTATGTAATACTTACAGTACCTTATTCCTCTGAAGCAACCTAGTGAATACACCTACTGTACCAGTTTGTAGTATATGTGGAATTAAGTCAACTTTTGTTACAAAACCCGTAAATTAAACAACCGAATTGACAAAAAAAGACATCCATAATCATCTTCATTTTTTTTCTTCAACACTCCTACCACCCCAACAAAAGTACACATGTGTATCCATTCATGCACATTTGAATCAAGTGGTCTGTAAAAATCCAACCTGCCTTAAAACTCAGATACACTGTGGGCGGCAGTGGCTCAGTGGTTCATGTGGGTTGTCTACAAACCGGAAGGTTGGTGGTTCAATCCTCGGTTCCACCTGACCAAGTGTCGAGGTGTCCATGAGCAAGACACCTAACCCCAGCTGCTCCCGACGAGCTGGATAGCGCCTTGCATGGCTATATAAATGCAGTCCATTTACCATTTACCATACACAACCATAGCTGTATAACTGCCCGACAGAAGCACTGCTTTAACAAACAGCGAAACAGAAAGACATATTTGCCATGGATGCGCGCATGTGCTGAGGATCTGTCTTCATCCATTTTGCCAGTTGATTAGTGTTCAAAGAAAATGATGGGAAATTGCTGAACTTCACGACACGTGACCCTAGAGGGATTACTGAAAGGCTGTCTGTCCTCTGCAAAAAAAAACATTCACGTTTTAAAGATGAAAAATAATCATCTACTAATGTTGTGTTGTTCTTCAGCCATATTGGTTGTGTTTGACCCAGTTTCTCTTCTGTCTCTCAGAGAAATTATTGACCATTTGAAACCTTCATTCGTCTTTCTCCCCATATTTTGAAATAAATTTTTGATTCGGTTGGAACATGTTTGGTGTCTTTTCTGAATAAATGCTTGAGCACAGGGACTATCCCTGATAGCCTAAAACAAGCTACTGTTACACCTCTTCTCAAGAACCTTTCACTTGATGATAGGGATTTTAATAGTTTTCGACCTATCTCAACATTTCCTTTTATTGCAAAAGCACTGGAGAAAATGGTTCTCATTCAACTCCAGTCTTTTCTTAGCTCAAATCTAATTTTTGAATCTTTCCAGTCTGGCTTTAAGCCTCTGCACAGCACAGAGTCTGCTTTATTAAGGGTTTCTAATGATATACTGTTAGTGACTGACTCTGTGATCCTAATAATGTTAGACCTAACCTCGGCTTTTGATACAGTTGTTGTGGAAATTTTATATTTTACTTTTCTTTTTCATTTTCTTAGACAGTAAAGCCCAGGGGGGTGGGAGGCTCACCTTCTTCAGAAAGACTAAGGGGTATTCAGCCTTTTGACCTCACAGATGTGAAGACAGTAGGGGGGTCAGAGGGACCACTGTATTATAAAGCCTTTTGACCTCACAGGTGTGGGGACAGTAAAAGCCCAGGAAGGGGGGTTAGGAAGGACCATTGTATTTCTAAAACCTGCTAGATCTGGTTTTACTGGGGTAAGCGGAAAACTACAGAAGAAGAGACTTTGTCAAAAGAGGGTATAAAAGCTGCTTGTTTTCTGTGCGATGCAGGTCTTGTTCCATCGTAGACAGCTGCTACGGTTTGTGGTTTTTTTAACAACCTCCTTTAAAAGAATAAACATCTTTTAAAGTACAATTTGAATCCTGAAGTCTCTGACTAACTTCCACATCAGGTTTTTCTGCAGCTTTGTTGCGGTTTAATTTCTGAGTCAAAGAGGATACTCTAGCACGGAGCTCTTTGATCTGTTTCTCTAGCTCTGAGTTACGCTGAGCCATTGCCTTGTCACGTGCGCCATGTTAATTTGGGGATTAAGAATTGTTTTGGTGGTTACAAATAATAATTTGTAATTTTAAGGGTGGGGGTGTTACGGTTGTGACTAACACAGTCTCATCCCAAGACGTCATCTGTCTGACGCTTTTGACCATACGTCAACATCCGACGTTTTAGGGTACCCTTTAACGTCAGTTAGATGACAATCCTAGGGCGTCATCTAACTGACGCTTTACCTTTAGCGTCAGTTAGATGACGCGGGTAGGTTTAGGTCTGGGGTAGGGTTAGGATTAGATAGCGTCATCTAACTGACGTTAAAGTGTACCCTAAAACGTTGGATGTTGACGTATGGTCAAAAGCGTCAAACAGATGACGTCTTGGGATGAGACTGGGCTGTTGTGACGTAATGCAACTATGTTGTTTCTGCTGTTGTTGCTGCTGTCTCCTTCTCCTTTAGGATTGGTCCTGGATCTAATGCAACTCTATGGGTGGTTGGATCAGAGAAGAGGCCTGGACTATAAATTCCCCGGAATTCCTGTAGAGGGTGCTCTCTGCCTCTTTGATTGCCCCGGTGTCGTACTGTGTGTTTGTCAGCCGGTGAAAATGTAGCCCAATTGTGTGATTTATGTGCTCTTAGCTGGTGTTAGCAGAGTATTGTGTAACTACTTTGATACTGTGTGATCTGTACCCAGCACACCAGTGCCCGTGATCTTATTTGTATGTTTATGATTAATTTGAGAAGCCGTTGGGGGTGAGTGCCTTGTTTCCTTTGTAGGCCGAAAGGCCGTTATTTTTCTCCTGGTTATTGTGCTAGTTAAGCAGATAGGGTATTTCATTTTGTATGTTTTGTTTCTTTTATTTGATTCACAGGAAAGGTAGTTTTCGTGGGAAAGTTAGCTCTGTTTGGTTTATTGTTTTGGCATTAGCTCACCCCTGAAGATCTTGCTTCTAATCTTTTCCCCTGCTTGTTTGATTCTTTGATTCTGTATTTTCAAGATATTGTTTTATGAATGTCAACACAATGCGACCCTGAGAACAACTCAGAGGGCAAGAAAATAGCAATAAACTCAAGTTAACTAGAGGAATTGGTTTTGTTGTTTATGTTACACCCTGACCTAGACCAGGGACCGTAACACTGTTGTGTAGCTAGTGCTAAACCAAATTTTCTGTGGCAGCAGATAATGCCTTTGACATTGTTCTTGCGAACACTTTATCCTAGTACCTTTTTACACTCATCTACCGACCAAGTCTTGTCTGGATGAATCTCATATTTCTGCGTTAGTTCTTGTCTAACTTTCTCAGTAACTATTAGGTTCGTTTGTACTCCTAACAGTGATTTGAATTCGCTGAAACAGAGGATAACCAATATTAGCATGTAATGCTAATCTTCCCTGCCTGAACAGAGGTTAGCTTTCTTCCCTGCCGAAACAGAGGATAATCAATATTAACACGCAATGCTAATCTTGCCTGCCTGAACAGAGGATAACTTTCATCT